AGCAGCCTGCTCTGCCTCTTTGTACCAAGCATGGATCCATGCAAGGCACAAACCCAACAATGCTGCCTTGGTGCTGCTACCCAACAGCAGTGGCTTTGGAAAGAACCAGCTGGCAGCAGCTAATCCAACAGGCAAAACCTGGGAATTCTGGTGTCAGTGCCACAGAGCGTGGGAGAGATGCAGGTTTGGCAGACAGATGGCTGCTCTTTTACACAACTGTGCAAAGTACAGTTCTTGTGATAAAACATTACAGTTCATGACAGGTTATCTGGGGCAAGGGTTACATTTCCCTGAGGCTTATCTTGGTGCCTGATACATTCTTTGGCAGAAATGGGAATTTGGACAAAGATTAAAGAAGTTATGGATGTGAACAACTGGGTTACCACATGGAGGCTGTATTGCTGTTACTGGCAGTATTAGGAGAGGTTAGAAATGTGAGGCATATAATCATTTACAGGCATAGGAGAGAAACCAGGCAGTCATTTTCTAAAACCTCAAATACTAGAACAATGGAGCCTTGGGAAATCTGGTAATGTGAAGCATGGTTTGGGTTCCAACTCTTACCTCACCTGCTCAGGTTTAACTGTTTCTTCATACTCAAAGTAAATACCTTCCTGAATGCATATCTATTATTATTATTATGCATATATTGGAGATATTGAGCTGAAACAGGGAATATAAGCAACTGAAACATGAACTTTGTGCAAAGCAAGGTTAGAAATACATATTCAGTTACATGAAGGTGTGTCATTATTTTAAAAGCTTTTTACATGTATTTCTTACTTTATCATCATAGGTTTAGTATCAGCTGGTGAATGGCCAGGAGAATATGGTTTGTCACCTCTCCCAAGGCAACAAGTAAAAGAGGTGAGGACACAAGTATACACTTCATCTACCTGCTCCTCTGACCTTCTGCACAGGGGAGTAAGTAGGTACCATCCGTCTCTGAGCCTGACATCAGGGGTTTAGCAGTGAATGTACAGCCCAGACCAACACATCCTTCAGCAGTCCTGACCTTTGAACAGTTTTCTTTGACCCTGTGCTCTTCCCTCCACTTCTCAGTCACTCGTGTTTCTGTATTAAATACCTTTCCAGGGCTGCAGCCCACCAATTTATGCTGTTTCATGAGTGCTGCCATAGGGCAGGGATGTCACAAACCAGTTCCTGGCTCCTGTTAGCTACACAGATGAGAGAGAGCAGGACAAGAACCATACCTAACAAACCATTGCCCAGTTCACTTCCTGGGGGTCCCTGCTGGAAGGGGGCCACAGCAGTGGGGCACAGCATAGAGGGAAGCTGTGTACCTGCCTGCAAAGTCCTCTGCAACCCACATGCTGCCTCTCCTTGCAGGCAGGCTTGTCACTCTCCACTGCCTGGCAGGCTGTCACTACTGTTTCTTACGCAAAAATTCCATGGCAGGCTTTATGGGAAACTGAGGGTCTTACTCAAAGAGAACTGCATCAGCCCCTAGAGCCGGGGCCTAAAGGTAAGGTAAGCAATAATTATTTCAGGTATTTAAATTAAGCCTTCTGCATCCTTCACAAAGCAGCCTGACATCTCTGCTCCTCTGCTTATCTACCTGTACACAAGATCACTTGCCAGTTCCTCGGGGGTGCTATAAATAACAGCAACATATTACAAAGTGCTGTAACTCTAAGTACTAGTCCAACTTTCAAAATTGTATCAATTAGTCCTCCTAAGGAAATTTCACAAGAGGTATTTTCAGTACCAGGTTTGATTTCTCTTTGAAATAGAGTCTCCAAAACATTTGTAACTTGCCTCTGGAGAAGAGACCCTGAGAAGTACTGATATGGTGGAAATACCTAGGAGGTATGAATGGTGCTAATGGTAACCTTCAAAGAGTATGTTATAGCAAATACTGAGTTTCTCTCTAAATGCTCTCTTTTGCCAAGGTTTCTTCTTACTGTTTTGATTTGGCACTCATCTCTGTCTAAATTCTTTAAAAAAAACACCAACCAACCAATCTCATTCATAGAGACAAGGGGAATGCATTTCCAATAATTTTCAAGTTTTCAGTAGAACTTAATACTCCATATAAAATCAAATGTATGATAGGAAGCAGAAGAAATGAAAATACTCTGTAATTAATGATTTGGAGATATGGCCCTTTAAAATACAAGAGCATTATTCCCATTTGGTTCATAGTTACCTAACCAAAAGCCTACATGATGAGCAATCTTGTAAACATTGACTACTCCCACCAGGAACTATAACTTATACTGCAGTAACAATACTGAAGGATGAAAGGAGACAGAACTGCAACAAGCAAGCTGCCAGGCAATGAACAAATACACAAAGGGGAGGAAAAACAGGTCCTGTCTTGGGAAATTTGTGGTATTTGCAGATTTAATACTGTGGCAGTTTAGTATCTTGAGCTGGACTTGACCTGAAGGAATGTGAGCATGGAAGAATCAAATTCATATGTATTATCTCCACAGCTCTCAGATGTTTGTTTTCTCTGGCAGAGAGCTTTGACTACATGAAGGCACATCAAACTGGTCCCAGGATGGGAAAAGCCCCTAGGTTTCTGCCTGGCAGAGGAATATGCCTCCAAGTGAGACCACTGAGCCCAGGCCATTCGCCCAGGCCCACAGTGGCCTGGAGTCCACCTGGCAGTGCAGCTTACTGGCTCTGCTTTTATTTCCCAGCCTGTAAAAAACTGAAGACTGAAAACTGATATTAAAATACATATAAAAGCTGTTACTAATGTGTCATACTTAGGAATTATACTATTTTTTTCACTAAGTGTGGGAATTCCAAGCACAGAAAGCTCTCAAAGTCTTGCAAATGCATGTTTAGATATAGACATGGACACAGGGTTTGATTTGAGGCCTTGGAGAAAGCTTCCAGACTTAGAATCATAAGTAAGAATGTAAGCTTAAATAGAAAGACATTAGGTTAAGTTGTAAGAAGTTTTAAGGTTTTAAAGTTAAGATATAGAAGTAATTATGAAGGCAATAAGAAGTTTAAGGTATAACAAGTAGTTCTGTGTGTCACTACGTGACCAGTTAAGAAAGCCTGCACTGCAGCAGAGACATATAAAACAAAATAATTATTGGTGTGAAAAGAGAGACATTCTTTTGTGGCATTATTTTATTGGCTAAATAACCTTTCAAAGACCTTGTGACCTGTAGTCTTGTGACCACTAACTAGGAATGTTTGGTGAATAAGGTGAAGATGTACTTGCTCCTTCATGAAACTGTAAAATAAATCATGCTTTAGGACATCTCCCAATGGTCCCGTCTCTCAAAATCTCGGTAACTAAGGATCAGTACTTTATTCTTAGTTGCTAAACTTCATGTAAAAAATATGCTACAGCTTGAGTGTGGCAAGAAAAATGAGACAGTTGCTAAAGAGAAAAATATTATTTATTTATTCTGCTTTTCAACTAACTTTTGAATGTTCCAACCCACACTCAACTAGTATTTGTGGCTTTGGATTCTTTTCAGGAGATGTTGATGATGGAACTTTTTGGTGTATTGTCCTTCAAGAGGATATATGTATGCAAAAAAAGTGCACACACCTACACTCCTGCCTGTGGTGGGAATTCAAGTTACCAAGGAACTCAGTCTCTTCGTTAAGATGCACACTATGAATTCAGGCCTTTGTAAAGCTTAATCATCAACAGAGTCTTTGAAAGGACTTTGCACTCAGCCACTGTTTTTCTTATGTCTAAAGAAGAATTTCACTGCTTCTGATACTCACTGTACTGATACTGATAATGAATGAAGTGATGCATTAAAGACAACAACTCAGCATGCAGAGAAGGATGAGAAGGTAGCCTTCAGCTTTGCTATTGAGCACCTGGAATTTTTGAATTTTTTTATTTTATATCACACAGTTATCTACTAAAAAAAAAACAAAAACCAAAAAAACCAAAACCCATAGGTCAGCCTATGGAAAAGAATATAAAGACAATGCTATAATAAAGGGTCTCCATCTTAGAAGATGCTGGAAAGAAAATAATTTGGAAGTTCTTGCTGTCTTTGGAATACTTTGTGCCTTGTGGACATCATCAAAGAGCCTCTTTAGGACAGATTTGAACACCTGAATTGGTAGGAGAGTACACTTCCAAGGGAACTGGTGGTGGCAGGATAAAAAGGTGAACAGGATGAAATGGGCACCAGTCACCATGCCAGACCACTCTGAGAGGGAGCAGCTCAGCAATGTGCACACAGAATAATTCACACACTACAACTGCTATTACTGCCAACAGCATTCATGGCATGATTAGGTATGCCCAAGTCAGTCAAGGCACCATAATCATGACCTGTACACAGACACAGCAAAAGAATATGTGGGCTACTCAGAAATGAGAAATTCAAGTTCCTTGCAAAACGAACATGCTAATACAGAACCAAGAAACAATGTGATTATATTCACTTTACATAAATGCACAAAACTTTGTAGACTGAAATGCACAATTCATCCTTACTGAAGTAAAAAACTCCAACCCTCAAAACCAATGGTTATCAATAAAAATTCACCAAAAACATCCTAGAAATACACCACTTAGATTCATGACATAACTTAATGCTACTACAGTTATTTCTACATCAGGCAACAGCAAGAAAAAGAAATTTTAAAGCAATATTGACAAGCCACAACAGTGTCTCACACACTAATTGAGAAATTGGCTTGGAGAGGAATAAACATTATTAGTTAGACCAGAATAAGTCCCCTTTAGTCATATTCCTCAATGCAGAGAAGACTTGACAGACAGAGCAGGAAGACTTTAACTGGAAGATACATCAGAGGATCCTTCACTTGAATCTTTTCAGTGCCCTGACTTCCTTCTCCCCCCAGACAGATCATTTAATCCAAGCTTCTAGTCAGCAGGACTTTCTGCATCAAGAAATAATTGACTGAGCAGAAATATCTCCAGTGCCTCAGGAAATATCTGGAGGCCTCCTCACTCAAAATGAAGCAGTTATTGCATCTGCTGCTCACCTGAATCAATTATACTGGACACAAGTGCATATCATAAATTACAGTCCTGGAAGCATAAAAATTTTATTAAAAAAAAAGGATTTTTTTTTTCCTACCAAACATACAATTTCAAAACTTTGGAAGCAGATTGTTTCATTTGAAGTCTTTTCATTTTACTCAGAGAATAACACAATATACAGCAATGACAGCTCAAAAATCACCTTGAACAAAGCTGCTTTAAAATTATTTTGCAGATGATTCATGAAGTAAAACAAATCTTCCTTTCTTCCTTCTAATAACAACCTCATCACAAGACGTCTGCTCATTACTTATTACTTTTAATGACAGCTGGTAAAAGAAAGGATTCTGTAGGAGTGGCCTCACGTATGAGTCTACATATCTTTCATCTCTCCCAGAGGGTATATTCTCAAAGAGCCATGCTACTCTATTTAGATTTAGTGGCAGGTGATTTGAATAGCTTTGCAGCTATACAAAACACAAAGTGAGTTATCCTCTGTCGAGAAAGGCAGGAACATGTCAATAGCTCCTTGCTGTGCAGGTTGCAAGTCATATATTCTCCTCTGATCAACCTACCAAATTACAGGTACATCAGCCTTTTCCCTCAACCATTTCCTTTGGACTGTTCAGATAAAGTAGTTAAGCCTTGGGGCTGGGGATATGGGTACAGAGTAAACTAATAACATCATCCAAAGTACTGCCTACAAGCTTTTTCTCATATTAAGTGTATTGGAAGTAATTATACATGATACTCAATGTACTGGAAATAATTATACAACATTAAGCATGTGGGCAGATATTATATAATAGTGGTTTGTCTTGAAGTCATATTTTAGATGATGTGCAAATGAACATTTCTGCATGTGATGCTGTCAACTTTAGAATGTTTTAGTCCTGCACTAAGTGTAGATCACCCCATACTGCCAGAACATATATGTTAGAACTAGAGGGAAAAAAGCTTGAGCTGAAGGTGGTGAACAGTTCACAAACAGAGCTAACTCGTCACACTGTTCTGCTAGAAATTCTGGTGTCAGAAAAGAGTTTACATCTTTATCAGTTTTACTGGTGCAAAAGTAAAATACCTTGATTTTCTGTTATAAACAATGTATTAGCTGTATAGTTGATGAGACTAAGGACACAGGACTAGAAATAGAGCAGATATTGGCACTAAAATAGCACAAAAATTAGCTGAGTTTAAATACTGAGAAAGACAAATCACTGAAATTGTGTTCTTGAATTGCAGGTCAAAGAGTAGCATTAGTGGTCAGCTGAAAAGTACAGATTGCATAATAGCAGCCTACAATATAATAAAACTGATCTTAATTTCCAAATTTTGTGTATGTTACTGGAAATATTTACAGTGCATTTTACACCAGCACACTCAAAGCAGCTGGGATATATACCAAAATACCCAATTCTTCCAGAAAAATTTCTCAGTAACACAAGGCTCTTGCTGTCAGCCACGTGAACTGAGAGCACAGACCCTAAACAATATAGACAGGTTGGCTCAGATTCATAAGATGACAATGTTAACTTTGATTTGGTACAACAAGGTTTGCTCCAGACGCAGGCTTACTGCCCCAAGAGCCAGAAAGGGGCTAACACAGCTGTTAACTATCAGGTGTGACTTGTCACTGCCAGGACTCCTCAAGTGCTTCAGCTCTAACTCAAAGCTGTGGAAAAGCTAAGGCTGGATAGCAGTGTGATGGCATAAACATGGAATCTTGATATTTTGGTGCAATTGCCCTCAAACATGCAAGGCTTTGTCCCCTTAGATCTGAAATAAAGTACAACATAGCTTTCACATGAGGGATATGCCTCATCAGACTGCCATTGCCAACTGTGACACGTTTGGCCTCTTGATGTTTCAAAAATAAAAAAGCCTGTGGGATTCTTTTAGCTAGAAGACTGTTTTCTTGTCCCCCAAACTAAGTCAACCAGCCACCTCCAGACCTACTGTAGTATTAACAACACTGCTTTCAATCAGGCCAGCCTGTACAATTTCAGTCAAAATTTCAGGTTTTTAAAAAAAAAATGAGGTCCTAAAAACCAGCTCATTATAAATTGTTTGTAATTTTAATTTTAACAATTACTGTTTGTTCTGTCAGTGCTGCTCTTTGTGTAGAAACGTATGTCATTAAAATACTTTTGCATTGCTTTACTGTAATATTTGGTATCATCCACTAATGCATTTTAGTTTTGTTATTCTATTATCTTAGAAGCTTATTCTATCCTTTAGGCACCTCATATCCTGGAATAAAGACAATTAAGCAGTTCTTGTAAGTAGTCATTAATGAAATATCTATTAGGACAGTTCATCCATTAGTGGGCTGTATCACAATTTGAATACCTTACCTATTCTCAAAGCATTGGTTTATCACATACCAGCCCCGCTTGTCCCTGCTGCCTATGATGAGCTTTGTGAATGTAACAATGAGGGTCCAGGAGTAATGAACTTCTGCTTCTCAGCAGTGAGAAACTTTCCCTTCACGTTAACGTTCAGCCTTTTGTCTCTTCATTTAGTGAAGGCTTAGCACTAATAGGCTTTCATCGAATGTAAAATACACGCCTTGACATGCTCCCGCATCCTCTTTCCGGAGACAATGCTGTTGCAATTCCCTCCAGAACAACTTCCAGGTAACCAATTCATTTTCAACACCTTCACGAGCTGGGCTTACGCTTGACACCACAACACGTGGCTTCCGCAGCTGGAGAGATGCAGAGGAGCATCTGGGGGGGACGAGGTGCGACCTCTCTGGATTTCACTCCACCCACTCCGAGCATCATGTTTTTCCCCTTTCCTCTGATCTGTAAAATACACAGCAGCATTCGCACACTGTCCGCGCTTTGGGGCCCTTCAATATGGACCTTTACTTTGGCGCTCTCAGGTCCACAAGGGACCCTTTCCCCCAGGAGCACCAGCCCGGCCAGACGCGCCCCGTCCTGTGAGGGGACACCTTCCCGCCGCCATGTCGCCTGGCGCAGGCGAACGGCGCCTCCTCCCCCGTGTCCGGGGCTTGGGCCGGGCTTTCGGAGCAGCGGCGCTCACGGTCGCTGCCGGCGATCGGCTTTTCCTCTCTGAGGCCGCTCCGTCGCTCCTTCCCCGGCGGCTCCGCGCCGAGAGCGCCGCAGGNCCCGGCGGGGCTTTGTTTACCTCGCGCACACACGCGGGCTCGCCGCCGCATTTCGTTGCGCAGCGCGGTTGCCCCGCTGTTACCCGCGGTTCTGAAACGCTAGAACAACTTTCAGTGTTTCCGCCTGGCACGGCTCGGTTGCCCGGGCAGCCCCTCGGGACGTGTATTCCCGGGGCGGTGATGCTCAGCAGCGCTTGCTTCTTCGGAGTTTGTTTACGCTCTCTCGATGAGTCTGAGTAAAGCATGTCTATGCCTCGAGTCCACGGCAGTGCTTGTTCGGACTCCGAATCAGTTTTTGGGAGGAAAGCGGGGGAAGCGGGGCTGGGGACGGCCGGGCGGCTCTGCCGTGGCAGCCGTCTCGCCGCGCACCGCGTTCCTCCCGTGTCCCTGCGTGAAAGGGACCTGCCGAGCCCTGCTTTACCCCAGAGTTCCCTGGGAGTTTGGTACGTGTCAGCCTGCCTTCTGAACAAGGATCGGGATGGTCGCTCGGGTCACGACTTGAACTTCATTACAGGTGCTTTGTGCCCGAGGACCGTAACTTTAGTCAAAGGTCTTGGGTGTGTTGCCTTGTAAACCTGCGCTCAGTTGTGCCGCAGCCTGACAGCGCTCTGCAAGGAGCAAAGGCTGCTTCCTCTATTGATAGTTCCCCAGGAGACAGGAGCAGCTTCACATGTGCTGCGAGTTCCCCAGGAGACAGGAGCAGCTTCACATGTGCTGCGCTAGAAACTGTCCGTGTCCGGGGTGTTGGTGAGGTCCAGCTTTGGTCACTTGGAGGTGTCCCAGATGAGGCTGAAGGGAAGCTGGAAGAGCAGAGTAGGATACAAGTAATGTGGGGACTTGGCCATTTCATCTCTGTCTTATGCAGAGTTTGCTTTCTGAGCAGCAAAAGCATTTGTGAGAAAACTTCATTCAAGTCATAGCAGCTGTTCACAGATGCTCTTTGCCAGGGGAGAATGCTGTTCACCATGTGCACCTTGAGAGAACTTGTCTCTTAAAGTCAGTTCTTCTTTAAAAGAGTCCTTCTTATAATTCACATAACAGCAGGGCAAGCGTTAGCACACAGGAGCTGCTTCCATGAGTGATGGGGGCTTGGCTACTAAAATCTGCTTAATGAGTACATGTAGTCTGCACCACAGTGTTGTGGACTCAGAAAGTTTAAATATACTTTTATCTGCCCCTTTCTGTCGTTTGTGTTGCCACATGTCTTATATGACTGAAGTTATGCTGACAAAAGAGCCTCGCAGTCTTGAGTCTGGGAATATAAGACGGAGTCTTCCTGTTGCTCTGAGACTTAGCTTGTGGGTTTTCTCATTAATCTTTAAGAGATTGTACTCATTTTTCAATGGGTGTTGGATTTTAGTTGTCCTTGCTCTCTCAGAGTGAAGTTTCGTAAGATAGCTAAGGCTGATCTGGTAGCAAGCTGGTTCAGCTTCCCTCCCTGTTGCAGGCTCGTATTTCTGCTGTCTGCCTTGTGTTGTTACTGGCCAGCTGAGTTTAAAAAGTTAACCCAGCGGAAAACTCTTCTTCCATTCAGTTTTTTAAGGTGGCTGGTTTTCTCAGCAGAGCTCCAGCTCTTTCACAGGTAGACCCAAAAGCTCTGCTTAATGTGAGGAAAGTAGCAGGAGTGTGTGGAGGAAAAGGTCAAATACAACCAGCCCCTGCAGCCCCACAGCTGATCACTTGATAATCTTAGATGTATGGTGAGACTGGACTCTGAGAGACTCATTCTTCTTTTGGCCTGGGGACCGTACTGCACAAAGTGTTCATGCTTGATAAATAGTGGAGCAATATGTTAGAGGAGATTCATGGTTTCCTTCTACCATGCCCCAGCATGGCAAGAGGCAAGCTTTTAAGAGCAGTGTCATTGCAGACATGATTTTGATAAGGAGCTGAGAGCTTTATCAGAAATATCTCTGAACATTCAGAGGTCAGGTAACCTGGTTCATTGTCGACCTCTTTATTTTAGCAAATGCTAATAAACTCAGGTGTGGCAACTTTGTTCTGCTGTGTTATGCAGTGTTATATTTTTACATAACACAGCATTTAGGAGTGTGTTAATGGACCACGTACTTGTAGCCAGTCTTCTCTTGTGCAAACACAAACAATACCTCAGTCCATAACTTAGCTGAGATGTGCTGCAGATAGACTAATGCAGAGGGCAGTACATTTGTTTTCCATTTTTCTCCTCAGGTGTCTAGTTGTTAGAAAGTGGCGCCACATTTATATGCAGCTTAGATGAGTCAACTGACTAATTGGACAGCTTTCATAAAAAGTCTTTTTTGCTCTTTGACCTTCATGTATAAAGTCATAGCCTGAGGGTGTTTAATTGTTTTAAAAACTTCTTGAAGATAGAAATCAAGAATGAGGATGGCAGCCCTCATGTAATGGTAGAGATAAAACAAGAATGAACAAAATTACTTTTGTGTTCAAGAGCTGTTTCTGTGACCCTGTTTAGTGAAAAACATATTTTGTAATTTTTTTTTAAGGAATGTTTATGAGGAAAAAACCCAGCCTCAGTAGCACATACTGAGTTTGTTTTTCAGGGCATATGTGTGGATGCTTGAAAGGTTGTTCCCCATGTAGGTGATGGCGTTGTGAAGGGAATAGTGTGTTTGCTCATGATTGTAGATACCAGCCTTTGCCTCATTAAGACTCCCACTTCTCAGTGTGTGTTTTAAGACCCATTACAGAGCTGTGGGGGTCCCTTGTGGTGCTTACAACCTCCTAGGGACTCCATTCCCTCGGGTTCCGAGGGGATGAAACTGGGGAGTCATCATGTACACCCAAGATGAACATCAACATCTTGGGTGTCAGACAGAAGTGTTAAGGCTAAGTGCTAACAGAGCATGGTGGTGGCATCTGTTTTGAAGGGAGTGAGACAGCATCACAGCTTGCATTGCAGGGTAGCACTCCCTAGTGCTCCCATCCTCTCCTGAGTAAAGAGCTGGAAAGGTCAAAACACTGGTTTTGCTGCCTTTTCAAAAGTCAGCTCTTCTATTGCTTGCAGTGTTAACAGAACCAAGAGCTGTTGTCTGTTTTGGGGTAAGTTCTTTTTTACTCCATTTTCCGCAACCATGAAGCCTTTGCAATCGTAAAAAACAAAAGCCTACCAAATATGAGTGTAACAAAGTAAAATTTGCTCTAAAAAAACCTTTCTAAAGCTTTTTCTAAAGCTCCTTTAATTTCCATTCGCAGGTAAAGGTCTTCTGCCTCTTAATCATCCTTCTACCTCCTTTAAAAATGACAGTTGACCTCCCTGTTTATGCTTGACTTCTCCTGACTGTGGAGAATACAAAACAGTGAACTATCTCATTATCATCATCAAACCTAGCCTTACTATCATTGCCTTAATGCTCACTAAGTTTGGGCAACAGTTGCATCTGCTGGTGAGATCCTGTCATGCTAACAAGTATGATCTCCTCATGTTCTCATCTTCCGCTTCCATCCAGTAATGTATGCTTGACCTCGGGGTTGCAGAGTTGTGATCATTGTTTATTTTTTTTTTATTTTTGTGCAGCAGAATCCAAAACCTGCAACTTTTCAGTAGTGTGTTTCAGAACTCCAGTACAGTTAGCAGATACTATGTGAAACAGTTAGTTTGTGCAGCTTGGCAGGCGCTAGCCTGTTCTGCTGCTTCCCAGCTTTTATTCCAAAAAGCTCCCTTCTGTGCCAGTGCATTATTAGTCTCCTGTGCTGTTCAGCACCTCTTGTCTGCTGGTTGCATTCCTCTAACTGATGGATGTTGCTTGAATTTCCCTTTGGAGCTTTTTGCGGACACTTGGATCAGACAAGTGGAACGGCTGGCCCTTGGCAAGGCTCACTGCTGCTGTTTTTGTGCTGAGCACACAAGTGTAGAGTCACAGCATTTCACACCGACCAACATATACTTATGTATTCATATTGCATGTAATACTTGTCTTCCACAGTCTGTAAAGACTAAGGAGGAGCTGTTTCAGCATAAAAAAATTTGGAAGCAGTTGTCCCAGAAGGAGATCTCAGAAGAAAGGGATTTAGCATGGGGAAAACATGACAGTTTTATTTTAAAGTACTTGTGAATGAAGTAGGAATTTGATTTGCTCAGCCTTGTTTAGTGAAGTTGTACATAATAATGTTTTTTGTTGTGTATGAGTCGTGTTCTCATAAGTGTAGGGACCTAGCACACAATAAGCATCTTCAGCTTTTTAAAAGTTGTTTTCTTAATGGAAACTTGAAGTGAAATTTTGAGGCCTTTAAAAAGATTTGGTAATGCTGTGTATGAGGCAGCATGAAAAATGTACCACTGCACTGCTTGCAAGTTCAAGTCTTAATGAGTTAATTCTAGTTTGGTTTTGGTTCTTTGTTTTCTTTCTTGCCTTTTTAAGCTTCTTTTGACCTTTTTCCTGTATACTCAATTAGTTCCCCTCCTTGTCCTTCGGTTTTTGAATTATATCTTGTAAATAAGTTAAATGAAAACTGAGATGAACATGTGCTAATCAGCACTTCCTCGTGCAAGAAGCAAAACAGCCCTTCTCAGGATCTACAAGAGGCCAGGGGTTTCTTACCAGAATGTCCCAAAGGTTCTGATTAGAAGATGCATAACTCTCTTGAAAGCTTTCTCCTTCGTAATGAAAGGCTAGGCTGTGAAAAGAGCTGTATTTCCTTGAGTGGTTCTTTCAAGGGAGCTAGCTATTGCATTAGTGTCTTGTTACAGTTTCTAGCCTGTGATGGTTTTGGGTGTTTCCAGGGCAGTAGCAACGAGTAAATGGTATGATCAGAGATGTTACATTACAGTTTGCAGAACTTCAGACTGCTAAAATTATTGCTGTGTATTAAAGAAATTAATTTGGGTTCAGACGCACACAGTTTGAGACTCCAGTTTGCCTGTCACCCACTTAAAACCAGGAACAAAAACTAGGGCATTTTTTTAGCAGTGGTGAATCTAGCTCATCAGCTGCATTAAATAAGTACAGGTACTATCCCTAATGTACACAGAAGTTTTCATCATCTGTTTGCTAAAAA